ACCATCTGTTGTTTTTTACTTTCTAATAACAGCCATTGTGACTGGTGTGAGATAGTATCTCACTGTGGCGTTGACTTGCACTTCTTTGATGATTAGCGATGTGGAGTATTTTTTATATGTTTGCTGGCTGCTTGTATGTCTTCTTTTGAGAGGTGTCTATTCCTCTCTTTTAACTATTTTTAGTGAGTTTATCTGTTTTCTGCTTAATTGTTACATTCCTTAAGATTCTGTATATGAGACATTTGTTGGATGCAGAGTTTGTAAATATTTTTTCCCATTCTGTAGTTTATTTACTCTATTGACAGTTTTTGTGTGTGTGTGCAAAAGCTCTTTAGTTTAATTAGGTACTAATTGTCAATTTTTGTTTTTGTTATTATTGCTTTTGAGGACTTACTCATAAATTCTTTGCCAAAGCCAATGTTCAGAATGTTGTTTCCTGGGTTTTCTTTTAGGATTCCTATAGTTTGAAGTCTTATGTTTAAATCTTTAGTCAATTTTGTTAATTTTTGTATATGGTAAAAATTAGGGGTTTAGTTTTATTATTTTGCATGTGGCTAGTCAGCTATCCCAGCCCCATTTATTGAATAGGGAGTCCTTTCCCCATTGCTTGTTTTTGTTGACATTGTTGATAATAGATGATTGTAGGTATATAGCTTTATTTCTGGGTTCTCTCTTCTGTTCCATTGGTCTGTGTGTCTGCTTTTGTACTAGCACCATACTGTTTTGGTTGCTATAGCCATGTAGTATAGTTTGAAGCTGGGGAATGCAGTACCGCAGCTTATTTTTAGTTGTTGTTCGTTTTTTGCTTAATAGTGCTTTGGCTAGTTGTTATTTTTTGGTTCCATATGATTTTTAGAATAGTTTTTTTTTCTAGCTCTGTTAAAAACAACATTGTTATTTTGATAGGAATCGCTTTGAATCTGTAGATTGCTTTGGATAGAATGGCCATTTTAATGATATTGACTCTTCCAGAACATATGAGCATGGAATGTTTTTCCACTTATTATCTATTTTTTAGTAGTGTTTTCAGTTTTGCTTGTAGATATATTTTACCCCCTTAGTTGGATGTATTCCTAGTTAGTGTGTGTTTGTGTGTGTGTGTGTCTATTATAAATGAGATTGCATTCTTTTTTTTTTTTTTTTGAGACAGAGTCTTGCTCTGTCACCCAGGCTGGAGTGCAGCAGCACAATCTCAGCTCACTGTAACTTCCACCTCCCAGATTCAAGCAATTCTCCTACCTCAGCCTCCTGAGCAGCTGGGATTACAGGCGCCTGCCACCATGCCTGGCTAATTGTTGTATTTTTTTGTAGAGACGGAATTTTACCATGTTGGCCAGGCTTGTCTGGAAGTCCTGACCTCAAGTAATGCACCCCTCTAGGCCTCCCAAAGTGCTGGGATTACAGGCATGAGCCACTGTACTCAGCCAGGGATTGCACTCTTAATTTGGTTTTCAGTTTAAATGTTATGTGATATATAGAAACGCTACTGATTTTTGTACATTAATTTTATAACCTAGAGCATCACTGAAGTCATTTTTCAGTTCCAGGAGACTTTTGGTTGAGTCTTTAAGTAAAGCACATTCTTTAAAGTAGTAATTATATAACTTAGTTATCAGTAATTAAGTTGCTATTTTAATGTAGTCTGACACTTTTATTTTTATCTCAGTTATTTCTGAGACAGAAATATAAGATTTTTGGTTTTTGGTCCTCTCAAACATCAAGTAGGAGATAACGTCACTCATTGGTAGTTACATAATAAACGAATGGAACTGCGTAAAGGTCAGGAAAATTTCAGTGAGAGCATAAAATGTGTTTGTGAATACTTGACAGTGTATTTATGTGAGTGAAAATATTATCAGTTGAGTTGACTTAATGCGTCTCAGAAGGAGTGACTGTGTTGGGCTGACATAAAAGATTATGATTGAGGTGATCAAAATTGAAGGGAGTCCGTAGTTCAACAGAGCAGCTATGACTTATTCATCCTTTCATAGGTTTGATAGAACAAAATTTTCCCAAGGATGAGAGAAATGCTTTTCTCAGTCCTGAACTAGAACAGTCATTGCTAGTTCTTCCACTAGTTTAAATAGAGATAAATGTTTTTAAAAAGGTTAGAGCAAGCTGGGGAAGTACCTACAATGGAAAAGAAACACTGTATGAGGTGCATTAGAGCAACGAAGAGATATTCTGCATAGCCCTTGACATTAGAAAGATTGCTTAGGAAAGGGTAAGCCATTCATTTAGTTGCTTGCTTTTTTTACTTTTTAAAACAATGAGTGCATTATAGTGAAAGTCTCTGTCAACAGAGAACGCGATTTTTCCTAAAAACAGGGACACTCAATATCTGGTCACCTTGCTATATTAAGCACTTTGAAGCATCTTAGAACAATATTTATCAAAATTAATGTCTTATGGTGCCATTCCATTCATTTCAAAAGTGCCATTTCATTCACTTCACAGTGCCAACTAGAAGTAAGTGCTCAAGTTAGTATAAGTGTTAAATTACAGGAGCAGCCATTGAATGATATTTTTAATGACACTTGTCTCTTGTCAAGCATTTTGGGTTTCCTCTTTTGCCTAGTGTTTTAATTTCCTTCCTTACTTGGACTTGGAACTTTTATGGGAACCTAAATTTCACAGCCCCCTTTTCTATTTTTATACAAAGCTTTCATGCCCATGATGTGTTGACCATTTGTTACATGTATGTCTTCTCCAAAATGCTTTATACTCCATAAGGCTGGAGGCCATGTTTACCTTATTCACTACTACATCATCTTTGGCTGGCACTATGTCTTATAACTGGCAAACTGCCAACAAATATTTAATGTTTTCTTAATGGCTGCCCCTATGATTTAATTATGCCATAGGCCAGCAATCAATTAAACCATTGAACAAAATTTATGAGTCACGTAGTAATCCAAAATGATTATATAAGAACTGCCACAGTGTACATTTCTTAGTGACAAAATAATTAAGCAACAAAATCTAACAGCTGGTAGAAGAAGGGGATCATGAAATCGTGGAATGATTTATTCAGAGAAACTGTTATGAAAATAGGAGAGGACAAATAAAGATCTAAAAGATGTGTGGTTCTCACAAAGGCAGGGAGGGCTCTAGACATTCTAAATTGAAAAAACAATGTGAAAAAAATGTTGTATAGGACATGTCTCTAACATATGAAATAATCCTAAATAAAAAGTTCCAATAAGGAAATATTTAAATAAGGTTGAAATATTTCTGTGGTGGTTGGAAATGTGTTGACAAATTTTTACACTCTCACTGAGAAAGGTAAGAGCTCCCACTGAGTGTGGGCTGGACTTAGTGAGTCACTTCTTACAAGAAAAAAATGAAAGCAAGAGGGATGGTATGTGGCTTTGGAAACTAGGTCATAAAGGGCCCTGCTGCTTCCTGCTTAGACTCTTTCCGGGATCCTTCACTCTTAGGTAAGTAGCTCCTGTGTTGTAAGGAATGGAGGTGGCAATAGGAAGAGGCCCATATAGCGAATATAGAACTGAGGCCTTCTGCAACAGCCACGTACTGAGTTTTCTTGCAACAGATCCTGCATCAGATGACCACAGCCCTGGCTGACGGCATGACTGTCACCTAAGAAAGACTAGCCAAGACTGCCCAGCTCAGCTACTCCAGATTCTTGCCCCTCAGAAACTGCATAAGACAATACTTGATTTTGTTTTCAGCTGCTAATGTTTTGGAGTAATTTGTTGCACTACAGTAAATAACTATGACAATACCATAAATTGTGCAGGGGAATCAATAACTTTCTTTCTTTTTCTTTTTTTTTTTTAATCAAAGGCTATATATTGAAATAGAATGTGCATAGAGGGATTTACATTACATTGCAGTGTAGCAGTGACTACTCTGCTCATATAAAGAATTGAAGGGGCAGGGGGAGCAAGAACATCAGGATAAATAGCTAATAAATAGCAGGAAGCATGGCTTAACTCTAAGATGATGGGTTGATAGGTGCAGCAAACCACCACCACACACATTTACCTATGTAACACACCTGTATGTCCTGCACCTGTATCCCGGAACTTAAAATAAAATTAAAGGACTTGCACCATCAGCATAGGAATTGAAAATGAAGCTGTAAGCAAATATTAACAGATAAAGCAGTAACAAATAATATAATTTAAAATAAATCTGAAATGATAGTAATATTTGTATAACCTCTTTTTAGTTGGGCAAAAGACTGAAAATGTTAAGTTTTAAATTTTTAGGTTCTTTTTCTTATTGTACTTTAGGTTCTGGGGTACATGTGCAGATTATGCAGGATTGTTGCATAGGTACATACATGGCAATGTGGTTTGCTGCTTCCATCCCCTCATCACCTATATCTAGTATTTCTCCCCATGTTATGCCTCCCCAACCCCCCACTGTACCTCCCCTAACCCCTCCCTAAGGACCCCAGTGTGTGATGCTCCCCTCCCTGTGTCCATGTGTTCTCACTGTTCAACACCTGCCTGTAAGTGAGAACATGCGGTGTTTGGTTTTCTGTTCTCGTGTCATTTTGCTGAGAATGATGATTCCAGATTCATCCATGTCTCTACAAAGGACACGGTTGCCCTTGAATGACAATATAGTATTATTAGCAACTGCAGAAATAAATCTGATGATTGAACATAAACGTGTGTTTTATATCACAGACAGGTAGATGATGCTCTGCCAAACATGTTTTCCCCTTTTACTCTTTGTATAGGTCATTTAGTGAACACTCTAGTCAGATCTGACACTAGTCAGATAAAGCGTTTTAAGTTAATCGGTTAAATGAATATATATTACTATAGAGTAGAAAAAAGTCAAAGTTATTATTTCCCCACCATCATTTATTTCTATGAATGTTACCCAGAGTGCTTTCCTAGTTGATATGGTTTGGATCTGTGTCCCCACCAAATCTGATGTTGAATTGTAATCCCCAGTGTTGGAGGTGGGGCCCAGTGGGAGATAATTTGGTCATGGGGGCAGAGTTCTCATGAGGGATTTAGCATCATCCCCTCTATGTGCTGTATATTGAGTGACTTCTCAGGAGATCTGGTTGTTTAAAAATGTGTGACAATTCCTCCCCTCCCTCTCTTCCTCCTTCTCCTGCCATGTGAAATGCTGGCTCCCCCTTGGCCTTCCTGGGGAGGCCTCTGGGAGCGTTTGCTCATGAAAGAAGGCCACTCATTCTCTACCATGTGACCATTAAGCCTCTCAAAAGATAAATCGTTCTACTATAAGGACACATGCACACGATTGTTCATTGCAGCACTGTTTACAATAGCAAAGACCTGGAACCAACCCAAATGCCCATTGATGATAGACTAGACAGGGAAAATGTGGCACATATACACCATGGAATATTATGCAGCCATAAAAAACGATGAGTTCATGTCCTTTGTAGGGACATGGATGAACCTGGAGACCATCATTCTCAGCAAACTGACACAAGAACAGAAAATGAAATACTGCATGTTCTCACTCATAGGTGGGTGTTGAACAATGAGAACACATGGACACAGGGAGGGGAGCACTACACACTGGGGTCTGTTGGGGGAATTAGGGGAGGGACAGCGGGGGGTAGGGAGTTAGGGAGAGATAGCATGGGGAGAAATGCAGGATATAGGTGAAGGGGAGGAAGGCAGAAAATCACACTGCCACATGTGTACCTTCACATGTACCCCAAAACCTAAAATGCAATAAAAAAAGAAAGCAGCAACCCCCCACCAAAGTGGAAAAGCACCATATTCTTTTTTATTGCAGTATTACAAACGTAATGATATCTCTAAACATGTAGAATAAAGTAAACTGATGCAAAACAAAAAACAAAAAAGATTCCCCATAGTAACTTTGCCCAGCTCATTATTTGGCAGTAATCTCGTTGTAAGGTTAGTGGATGTGAAGCATCTCCTCAAAGAATTTGAGAGCAATGGCTCCTAAGCCTTATGATACCCCAGAAGTGTGAAATGTTTGAGTTAGCACTTTCCTCAGGGCCAATTTCACATCCTTGTTTCTCAAGGTGTAAATCAAAGGATTAAGGGAAGGCGTGACGATATTATTTAACACCTGAATAACAGAATCCAACCAGCGACTGGAAGCAGGCCGAAGGTAGATGAGCATCACCGGCCCGTAGAACAAGAGGATCGAAAGAAAGTGGGCACTGCAAGTCGAAAAGGCCCGGCGCCTGCCCTCTGAGGAGCTGATTTTCAAAATGGAAAGGACGATATGACTGTAGGATGTCAGGATAAGGAAAAAGCATCCAAGAGTCACAACATCCACGTTAGTAAAACTCACAGTCTGTGCTAGAGAGGTGTCCGCACAGGCCAGAGGCAGCACCACTGGAATATCACAGAAAAAATTGTCCACTTCGTTGGGGCCACAGTAGGGTAACTTAAAGACAAGAAATGTGAGGATACTTCCATGGAGAGAGCCTCCCAGCCAAGTGCCCACTGTCAAGCCAGCACACACCCTGCGGTTCATGATGGCAGTGTATCGTAAAGGGTGACAAATTGCCACAAAGCGGTCATATGCCATCACAGTGTATAGGAAACACTCAGTGCCACCCAGGACATGGTAAAAAAAGAGCTGAGAGGCACAGCCCTCATAAGAGATGGTGTGGCTTTGCCTCATTAAGGAGAGCATAATTTTGGGGGTACTCACTGAAGGGAAAAATATGTCAAACACAGACAGGTTTCCCAGGAAGAAATACATGGGGGTGTGGAGGCTGGAGGAAGTGAGGATGGCCAGAAGAATGAGCAGGTTGCCCAGCAAGGTGAAGAGGTAGAAGGCCAGAAATAAGACAAATAGCACCTTCTCCAGCCCTTCAGTGTCAGGAATTCCCAACAGCATGAACTTTGTCACAAAGGTGTAGTTCCTCATGTTTATGCAGGCAGCCCTGAAAAAGCAAGGCAACAATCATGATGTAAGACCACAGGACACAGAGAATGCCCCCTGAACAAGGCAGTTTCTATCTAAGGCAGGGCTATAAGCAAAAGGCCTAAAGAAGGAAAAGATATCAGTAATAAATCTGATCCTGGTGCTACATAATATGTCATATTTGGCCTTAGTTTTCTCATATGTTAAGCGAAGTAGCAGAATCATTTATCTTTGTGGTGCAAAATTCTGCCAGTAATCAATTCTTATTACCAGTTTTATGTAGGTTCTTTGAATCTGGTTTATCTTCAAAGAAACTGGTGTATTTCAGAATCATCTGCCCCATGGAAAATTTGTCATCAAGTGGCAACCTCACTTTAATTTCAGTCAAGTTGCATTTTTTTGTAGAGATGGGGTTTCACCACGTTGGCCAGGCTGGTAACGACCTCTTGACCTCAAGTGATCCACCTGCCTCAGCCTCCCAGAAAGCTGGGATTACAGCTGTGAGCCACCATGCCCGACCCTAGGTTTTCTTTCTTTGCCACAGATCTTGCAAAAGCTAATTCCAATAGCATTAATATTCTTTGGCTTTATTAATTAGAATCAGTCCTAGATAAACCTGAATTGTATTTTCTGAAGCCCCAACTTCCCCTTATGTTTGCTAGCATCCTGTTTTGTGTTAGCTGTCCATACATTGCCATTAGATATAACTAATTTCCCTCTGCTATGATCAATATTTGTTCACAGGAAATGGTCTGATATTTATGCTACATCATATATTGTGGATTTATTATTTCCTGCATGATTATAATTTTTACAAAGATAAAAATGTCATGCATAAAAACCTTAATAATTAAAATTACTACCAAGAATGTGAAGTGAAGAAAGTAGGGGCTTTTCAGACCATTGTCATAATCAATCTGTATATCCAGGCCACATGTAAAGCTGATCCTGCTCAGAATATTCATATAGTTTGAGTTCCTAGCAAATACATAGACAGGAAGACAAAAAGACTCCCTTCCAGCCTAAACGATTTAAACATTGTCTTTGGGCCATGGCAACCAATTTAATCTCATGAAACATTCATTTTCTCTCTGCCCTCTAGAAATACAAAGACAAATAACATAAAGTACCATCCCTTGAAGAGCTCACTCTACAGTTACAAACTACTGGTTGCTTACACTGATTCGACTCTGCCATTTGCCAATTTTGGGCCCTTGAGTAGCTAACTTAACCTCTCTGTGCCTCATCTCTTTCAAAAGGAAAATGAGTAATAATATATCCTGCCTCATTGGATTGTTGTGAAGAGTAAGTGAGATAATGGATATAAAAGGCTTTGGCACATAGTGGTAAATGTTTAATGAAGTTGGTTTAACAACCAAGGCTTGAGCACGTATGACTAAATTAAGAGTGGTAATGTAGCAATAACAAAAGCATTGCACATATGATTAAGATATAATTAAACATGTACTCAGGAGGCTGAGTGGGGAGTATCCCTTGAGGCCAAGAGTTCAAGGCTACAGTGCACTGTGATTATGCCTGTGAATAGCCACTGTGCTCCTAAGCCTAGACAGCATAGCAATACTTCATCTCTTAAAACATAAAAAAAAAGAAAGATTGGGAGGCTGAGGCGGGTGGATCACGAGGTCAAGAGATCGAGACCATCCTGGTCAACATTGTGAAACCCCGTCTCTACTAAAAACACAAAAAAATTAGCTGAGCATGGTGGCGCGTGTCTGCAATCCCAGCTACTCAGGAGGCTGAGGCAGGAGAATTGCCTGAACCCAGGAGGCGGAGTTTGCAGTGAGCCAAGATCCTGCCGTTGCACTCCAGGTAAATATACTGGTAGAATTAAAACATCATTTTGCAGGCTGAAAATGCACAAACTCTTCCTTTAATCTGAACTATTCTGTTTCTAGCTCAGTAACTTAATTCACACTTCCAAATGGTATGGGTGTCTGGTCCAAACTTGTCCCGGGCAAAAGTGTAAATATTGTAAATAACCTTAGATACACTTTCAAAATCCTTCTCACTTCTCTGCAGTCAGTAGTCAGTGCTGTTAACTCCATCTAAACCCATTCTTAGAAAAGTATCGGACATCACAGTCGAGGTCAAAAAAGTCTAAGATCAGATAGATATCCACGAATCATAAACAGAGTCAATGAGAAAGTACTGATATTGACTACCGAAGATCTCCAACTTGAACATATAGGCTCATATCTCAGGGAAACAGAAAAAAAAAATCATTCTCCTGCAAAGGAAAGCAAACTAGATGTTTTCTTCCAACTTTAAATTTAAAAGTTTTGTGTTATTAGCTTCTTAAGGATTTTGAGTTTCACTATCACCATGCTTACAGATATTTGCAATTTTATCCCTTAGTCTTTAATAACAGAATAAAAATATGCGTGCTTGTTAAAGGAAGTTTTTATATTGATAAGAATAGATACTGAGAGTGGGGGTGATTTCTAATTTTTATATTAACTGCAAAATAAGATTCCTGAACAAAGACTCTCATCTTCATTACCATCCACCTTCTTCCTATAAGCCTTTCTCCTGACACATACACATATCCCCAAGACTTCTCCCTTCCATTTCTTTCTCACTGCTAGCTAACTAATAGATCACTGAACTCAGCAAACTATAAGACCTTTCTTAATGTCCTTGGTTTTCCACCTTCAATTCGTTGAGCAGGTGAAATGACCAGGACACACAGGAAATCTAAATAGGACAACCACTGTAGAAAATGGTGTGGAGATTCCTTAAAGAACTAAAAGTAGATCAACCATTTGATTCAGCACTCCCACTACCAGGCATCGACCAAAAGAAAAAGCAGTCATTATATGAAAAAGATACATGCACATGCATGTTTATAGCAGCACAATTTGCATTTGCAAGAACTTTGAACCAACCTAAGTGCCCATTGTCTAATGAGTGGATAAAGAAAATGTGGTATATGTATATCATGCAATACTACTAACCATAAAAAGGATTGAAATAATGTCTCTTTCAGCAACTTGGGTGGAGCTGGAGACCATTATTCTAAGTGAAGTAACTCAGGAATGGAAAACCAAATACCATATATTGTCACTTATAAGTGGGAGCTAAGCTATGAGGATGCAAAACTCACAGAGTAATATAATGGGCAGTAAGAGACTCAGGGTGGAGGAGGTTGGGCATGGGGTAAGAGATAAAAGATGACACATTAAGGGCAGTGTACACTGCTCAGGTGACAGGTACACTAAAATCTCAGAATTCACCACTGAATCATCCATGTAACCAAAAACTACATATACCACCAAAACTATTAAAATTTAAAAAGAAATTAAAAATTTTAACACTGTAAAAAATAGGAGAGAAGAAGAGAAAAGAGAGAAATACATGTAGAACAAGAGTTGTACATTTAAAAATAACTAAAAGCATAATTGGGTTGTTTGTAACACAAATGATAAATGCTTGAGGGGACAGATACCCCATTTATCCTGATCTGATTATTACTCATTGAATGCTTTTATTAAAACATCTCATGTACCTCTAAATATATACACCTACTAAGTACCCACAAAATTTAAAAATTTTTAAAAGATTTAAACAGAAGCAGGCCAAGTTTTAGGCACATACCAACTGATGGGAAGTAATTCAAATATGAGCAGCAAGAATTTTCTAAAGTTTCTAGGCAAGAAGAATGTGTTCCTAAAGCCAAAGCTCTTATTTCATGGAAGACACCGTGGCATACAGCCATGTATTGTACCTTCTCCTCCTATCCCAACACACAGAGGTGCCACACAGCTGTGCTATTAGAATGGACCTAAGATTCTGAATTGATACGTTTTCAAACTTGAAAGTAGAAATGGACCTGGTTTCCTTACAGACAATATCCCCAGTGGCCTAATCCCCAGACTTTAAAAGCATGAAAGAGCAAAGGGAATAATTAGAGGCTTTCCTCTCTTTTCTCATGTCCTTTCTATTCCCTACCTCATTATTTCATAATACAAGACATACTATGGAAGTGGCATAGCAAGTTTATAAACTATTTGAATATTCAAAGGGGCCAAAAAACCTAACACACTTCCTCTGCCTTAATATTATCAACGTTTTTATATGGATAATAAATATTTTCAACCAGTTCCAATTATGCTATATATGCAGTTTTGCAGCTTTTTGTTTAAATTTTAGTTTGCAATTTTATCAAAATATTTTCCATATTACTCAATTGCTACAACCATCATTTTGATTTCCTTTTATTTTTAGTTGACATGTAATAATTGTACATATTTATGGGATCCAGAGTGGTTCAATACATGTATACAATGTACAATGATCAAGTATCTATCCATCAAGCACTTACCATTTCTCTGTGTTGTGAGCATTCAAAAATCTTTCTTCTGGCTTTTTAAAAATATACAACAAATAATAGATAACCATGTTCACCCTACAGTGCTGCAGAACACCAGAATTCTTTCCTCCTATTCAGCTGTAATTTTGTATTTGCTGACCAACCTCTTTCCATCCTACCCTTCTTCCCATTTTTTTCCAGCCTCTAAAACCCACCATTCTACTCTTTACTTTCATGAGTTCAAAAATAATGAGCTCCCATGCAGTATTTACATTTCTGTGCCTGACTTATTTCACAGAACATAACATCCTCTAGGTTCATCCATATTGCTGCGAATGACAGTATTTCATTCTTTTTAATGGCTGAATAGTATTTCACTGTATACATATACCATGGAGGTGCATGTTTACTGCACCTTTGATATAGTGACTTGCTTTCCTTTATATAAATACCAATAATGAAATTGTTGGACTGTATGAAAGTTCTATTTTTAGTTTTTTGAGAAATCCCCACACTGTTTTTCCATAATGTCAATTTACATTCCCTACGCCACTTTACTCAGCAGTATTCATTTTTCTGGATATTTAATTTTTTAAGTTTTTAAAAATATTTTCCTAGGTAAACAAGTACTGATAGTTAGAAAAATAGATAGAGATAAGTGCATCTATAACGCACTATAATAATCTTATTAACTTTAACTCATACAGTTATCTGCATCTGAGACTTTATTAAAGATAAGTAAACCTAAGTAGAA